GCTTTCAGCATTTTCTTCGTGGAGGTAGGTAGAAACGTGAGCCTTGTACGAGAGTCTGTGTGTGTGTGTGTGTGTGTGTGTGTGTGTGTGTGTGTGTGTGTGTGTGTGTGTGTGTGTGTGTGTGTGTGTGTGTGTGTGTGAGTGAGTGAGAGAGACAGAGAGACAGAGACAGAGAGACAGAGAGAGAGAGTGAGAGAGAGGTGGGGAGTGTGTGTGTGCGCGTGTATGTGTGAGAGAGAGGTAGGGACAGAGAGAGAGAGTGAGAGACAGAGAGACAGAGAGAGAGACAGACAGACAGACAGACAGACAGACAGACAGACAGACAGACAGACAGACAGACAGACAGACCGACAGACAGACAGGGACAGAAAGGGGGGGTGAGTGAGAATGTGCGTGTATGAGAGAAAGTCAGTGAGGGAGGGAGGGAGAGAGAGAAAGAGAGGGAGAGAGAGAGAGAGAGAGAGAGAGAGAGACAGGGAGAGAGAGAAAGAGAGAGAGTGAGGGGGAGGGAGAATGTGAGTCTCAGAGAGAGAGAGAGAGAGAGAGAGACAGGGAGAGAGAGAGAAAGAGAGAGAGAGTGAGGGGGAGGGAGAATGTGAGTCTCAGAGAGAGAGAGAGAGAGAGAGAGAGAGAGAGAGACAGAGAGAGAGAGAGAGAGAGAGAGAGAGAGAGAGAGAGAGAGAGAGAGAGAGAGAGAGAGAATGAGAGAATGCGTTCATCACCTCGAAAGGGTCAACGGTTACTACATGTACCGGTACGTTGTTGTTTTTCCCCCCCCCAGGAAACAAGCGGAAAAGCAATGCAGGACACACTGGACATTGTCCAGCCTGACTTGGAAGAAAAGAAGAAAAAGCCGCCTCAGTCAACTCAGAGCGTTGGTGTAGAAAATGGCGGCTTTGACAACGACAGCCACAAGACACCCTCTCAGCGGCCACTGGACGTTCAAAACGTCAAACTCAACATTTACAACACTGTGAATCTAGATGGAGACACAGAGAGTAACACGGCCGTCTCAAGTCAATGATATTCTTCGGGTGATACAGTGCACATATATATGTACGCCACCATAGAGCTGTTATTGTTACTGTTAGAGATGGATGGATCAGTTATTGAGTTAAGTCTTCGAGGTGGTGCTGCCATAAAATTCACCTTTCGTTTAACTTAACGAGTCCGACTTTGTTCATCGGTAATGAAAGTTGGAGACATATTTTTTTTTGTAGTAAAGGTATAGGTTTTACGGCGCTCGCAACTGCATAGGGTCATATGAGCGCCAGAAGATTAGAGGTTTTACAAGAGGGTAACAAACATAAAAAAGAAGAAGGGGAGATAAGGACGATAGATTTTTGATAGTAGGCTATAGGAAAGAAGAAGCAAACCACACCAGAGCACCCACCAACCACCCACGGAGACATATTTAGTAACCACTGTGACTAAAGACATAAACTATAAGTATAACGTCCATAACTTTATGTGTCTGCGCACTAAGAGTAGACTTGTTCAGAGATATGTCTCCACTAAAAGTAAAACATACTCTCACTTATTTTTTTTAAAAAAGGTCATCATCATCATCCAGTGCCAGATCTGCGACAGACATCGGCGATCATGATTTCCCATTCATTCATTTGCTCGGATGCTCTCAGAAAAGCTACGTTTCCCTGATCTTTTCCTGTTACCCATTTGTTTAGGTTCCCTAAGTATGTTGTTCTGGGCCTACCCCTGCCTCGCTTGCCCTCAATTTTGCCAGTGAGAGCTAGATGTTCAAGACCCTTATGTCTATTCAGGTGTCCCAAAAACTGCATTTGTCGTTTCCTGATTGTTTTTAACATTGAGCGTCCCACGTGGGCTTCATCAAGCACAACCTCATTTGATTTCTTTTCCTACCACGATACTCTTAGCAGTCTCCTAAGAAACCACATTTCTGTAGCCTCTATTTTATTTTCACCGTCTTTAGTGATTGTCCAGCATTCACAGCCATATAGAAGGGTTGACCAAACATAGCATTTCAGGACTTTCATTTTGGTGTTCATTGATATGTTTCTATTTTTCAGGATTGGGCTCATTTTATTGAAACTAGCCTTAGCCATTGCAGTTCTCCTTTTTATTTCTGTGGAAGATTTGGCATCAGATGTTATCATATATCCTAGATATAAAAAAAGGTAAAATGTATTATTATTCCTTTCTGATGCCAAGAGTTACATAGCTAAAGGAAAAAAAAAAAAGCCAAAAAGAGGGGGAAATATCGTTGTTGACCACCCTAGAGGCTAGAGGTAAACAAGAGTGAAAAAAAACAACCCGCCTTCGCTCACACAAAAACAAGACGCAAGGCTCAAGACTTTCATTTTGTACATTTCATTCTATTTCCTTCACATGTTCAAGAACATAACACAGCTGCAATCAAAAGTCTCACTTCAAAAGGCAATTTGTCTCAAGTCACTGGTACACCACTGTAAAATATCAGAAAGTTATTCTTGACTGAGTCTTCTAGCGAGGAAATTACTTTTAGAACACATTGCTTTCAGAGATACACCTGCAGATAATGATAAATATCTTTATTATGGCAAAACATATTTTTCACTTCGTAAAAAGCAAATGTGTCACGTTGCAGTGGAATGAGGCGCTCGTTAAAGAAATGGAATCAAAGAAAACAACATTTGTCCATCCGTTGAGCAATTTTTATCGAATTCATGTTTCAGGTTCAACATCTTTTATTTCCATTTTAAAACACACTCAAATCCACGTTTACCAGGCGACCCCTACCTCCTTTAATCACAAATATCTCGTTTTCTATTCAAGATAAATTGGTAGGGTTTTTTATTTTTTTTTATTATTAAACTCAAGGCAAAAGGACAAGCTTTAAGGCAATACCAATAACTCCATAGGCCTGTAACCAAAAATTGATGAGCATCTGATTCCTTTGCATTGTGACACAAACACTTTGCACTCAAGGCTGTGCACTGGCACAATCAGTAGAAGGACCCTCGGCAACATTTTGGAGAGAGCAACGGAGCATCAATGGACATGTCCGGAGTGCAGGGATGTTGCTTCCTGAAACAAGAACAAGAACTCAAGGCTGCAAATCTTTTACACCTGCTTTATCAACCAGGCCATTTTCAGGAAACACGAAAAGCACGAAAAGACAAAAAAAACTTTCAAAGTGAAACAAGTCATGTGTTCCATTACCACAATAGCAGCAGAAACAACAGTATAGCTTCCCAGCAGCAAAACAAGCAACCTCCGATTCATACACAACATATTATAATCATATCACTCATTAATGTCATGATACTTGTTTATGACATCCAATATAGGCTGAAAACATAGCAGTTAGGAGTACACATTGTCACACCAATAACGACTACACGGGTACATCTTCTGTGTTTACTGACGCAGCCAGCATTCTTTGCTAGCCTGTCCCATAAACTCTCCCAGTGGAACAGACCAGAAAACTCTGGATCAATGAGATAACAGAAAAGGGCTGAACTCCTCCCGTCTTTTAGACATGAAAATGCATGCGTAGGACAAAGTTTTGGTGTGATTTTTACATGTAATCTTATTAACAACGAACATTTTGTTATGCATTAGGTACTTAACAACCACCAAACAAAAAAATCTGAAGTATGTCTTTTGTTTATGAGTCTGAACACATGATCATGTACAGCATACATGGAAGATATTGCACCAAACATTTTGTTCAATAATAAATAAGAACTGACTGAAACATCTTTGTTCTCAAAGGTGTGTTAATGTTATATCTACACTGTCAAACCTCACATGAACGTGAACACAGAACACTTTAATAAGTGAGCATTGAAAACATCCAAGCACGTCATTAACAAAGCAAGCATTCACTGACCAGTACTCATAAAAGTTGATTGCACAAGCTACTCCCATGATACAATGCGAGACTGCAACTAAAAACAACATACTTCAGCCTTTTCAAATCTTAACCTAGATACTAAGCGAGTGGCGGATCCATCTCTTCAAGGCACATTCTCTGACCCTTATACAAACATCTTGTAGTTACGAAAAGTCAAACTATTTTTAAAAACTTGATCCATTACTGTATGACACATCTCAACGGATAGATGTTTTAACAAATACAGAACATTTCAAGACATCTTAGATGATAAGAGTAATGTGCTTGTGCATGACTCTCAAAATTTCTAAATAAAACACTAGAAACAACAAAAACATCAGGGCTTCACCCACAAGATCTGGTGAAACAAGATTTCAAGCTCCAAATATTTCAAAGTTTATATATACCAAATTAAGCTAGGAGTACGCCGTACTAATTTTGAGTGTGCTGTGCATTCCTTTTACCAAAGCTGGGGCTACCTCCAGTGCAGGATCACACAAAAGTCAATGTCACAATAAATACCGACTAGACTTGAGTAGACAGTAAAAGTGGGGAACTGCTGTGTCAAAGGGCAGCAAAGCCGCCAATGAGCCTTCCCTCACAACAAGAAGAGTGAGTGAGGAAGAAGTTATATGATATTTCATTACACATACAACATAAGAACTGTTAGACTGGGATCTATAACAGCCCAATCACAGCTGAGCATGCAAGTTATGAGTATAATGGTATGACAGAAATGATAAAGGACACAAATACAGTCAGGGTCAATCCACAAGCATCTTAATATATTTGGTGGAAGTGTTGAGAACATTGTAGAGGGAGCGCCCAAAGGGGAACCATGATTTGAGCACTCACTACTTTTCAATCAAAAACTTGTAAGGAAATAATGAAACAGAACTTAATTTGTAAGATGTCCCTTGATATCTTTATTCGAATAATAGCTTAGTAAGGAAACTCCCTAGAAATTGATTTAGATGAGTGTAGAACGATGTTGACGATATGTGAGGCATTGTGGCGAAATCAGGCGCTCATTCGGCAAAATAATGAAATCAAAGAAACCAGCATTTTTCTGCCCATTTGGCAATTTTGATCGAATTTTTGTTTTTTTTTGCTTTAACACCTTTTATGTCGATGTAAAAAACACTTTTTTAAAGTGAATTTAACTAGTAAACATTGATTAAAGGGGCAAAAAATTGTAAATTAACAGTTTCTAAGGACTCTCAAGCTTTGGAAGCCACCAAACCTTGGAAGCCATTTCCTTGCTAATTTTACCTCTGAAACCAGACAACCCCATCCTCCTTCAAACACACGCGTTTTTTTTCATCAAAAGATAGACAAATGAACCAGTTTCAAGATGATACCAGTAACTCCACATGCCCAAAAATTGACGAGCGCCCCATTCCACTACGTCGTGATACATGTCTCCCAGCATGTTGTTAAATATGAAATCATCAACACAATCTGACAGGAAAACAACTAAACAGACAGGAAATCCATAAATTAAACAAAGAATATCAAGACAAAACTTTATCCTCCACATGTGAAATTTACATTCTTCCATGTCATCTCAAATTAGAAAAATGTATTAAGTACTTCATTCCCACAGCCAAGGACACATTAGTATAAACATGCAAGTTATCACTATATTCCTCGAAACACTTTCTCATTTTTCCAAATCAATCTCTCATTCAAATTTCTTCAATAAAACAATCCCCCTCATTTTCAAACTCACACACATGTAAAGACTTATGAGTTACGATTCAATACTTTCATGAGACTAACAAACTGCTAACCTAGTGGACAACAGACAATAGCATCTTATCCTGATAATGGTATTTACCCCTCAACAACACATATGGATTGTCTGGTTTTGTTATGTCCCCCCCCCCCTCTCGGTTGACTATGAGCATTAGTACAATGACTAAACATGTATCCTTTCAATAAGGTCAATATCCTTTCCCTTCATTGTGTTCCTGCACTTGAAAAGGAATACCATATGGTCTAGTGCCACATCAGTGCTTCGAGACTAGAACGTTCACAAAGCATTATTTGTTAACTTTTTCTGGCCACATCCCGTCTTGACTGGTGAAATACCTGTGACAATTACACCCAGAAAGAGCTACAAACTTTTCAAATAAAAGCAGAGAAGGCTTGAATCCCATGAGGCATTCAGCCACTGATCTGAGATGAAACAGCACCTGTATTGCAATGACACTTGATGGAGCGTCATCTTCACTTTGGTACCTCCTGGAAAAGTGCTGTGTAGAACTCGGCGGGAGACATTGTACACTTATATTTGTTTACCATCTCTTGAATCTTCAGCTTCCTCCTCACATGAGGTGGCTGATACCTGTGGACGTGCGAGAAAAGCAACACATAAACTGTGCGAATAATACCAATAACTGCATACAGCGCTCATGTAAATTTTACTTTATCTACAAGAACATCACTGTTGTGAGGCAGAGTATGGTACATTTATACAATTATGGCTACATTTCACCTTACAGAGATTATCACGAGAGAGACACAATGAGAGAAAGTAAAAGGAGCAGACATTAAACCAACCACCTTGGAAAATAATACATAAACTTTCAAATATTGAATAAAAGTGTCGACCATTCTAAATTTTCCAAAGATTGAAAATCTAAAGGATCTCAAAACAAAACGATAAATTTCTCACAGTTCACTTTCTAGGCGGCGTCTTCGGCAAATGTTGATGGCTGTCTGTCGTACCATGGAACCCAGCGTGCGCCGACTCACAACCATGCCATCCACCAACGGGATCGCTACAGACATCCTGCACAAAGGAGGGAAAGGGGAAATTTTTAAAAACCACAAGAGCAGCATTGATTTGCTTCATGAAAGATAATAAAGCTGGTTTGCCTGTACTGTGAGAAATAACAACATATGCTTGAACTTTGAAGTGCACACATTTATGCCATCTCCACTTGGTAAAAAATCAAACTATGACAAAGCTTTTCCGACACTTATAATTACACAAAAAGGTCACAGTTTAAATCCCAAGAACTTTTATCTCACTTTTGAAGTTGACTAGGGGCCTACCCATTTTCTTGAGTTTATCACAAAATTATCTTAACCTCTCCTTTGTCAAATGTGACAATAGGTGCCAGCAAGTATATCAGAGAGGAGGAAAAAGCAAGAGAGAGCACAGTGCACTCTTGTATGCAGGTATGAACAGTGCACATCTGTTTAGGGTAGTTGCATGTGTGCCTGTATGTCTTAACTGTCTCGAAAAGCATACCATATTTTTGTAAAACATCTCAAGACACTCTGAAGGACAGGCATTACTTTTTATTAGGCAGTTTAGAGAAAATTTCAAAGTTGTCTGATATGCTTTGAAATACTTTCATTAGAAAGCCCTTGCCTTCGGGTTCATAAAACAGTTTAAATTGTGTTCATGTCTTTATTAGTTAAAAAGTCATAACGATTTTTCATGCTTAAAATCCGGCCAATTTCAGGCTATTTTTAACACTGAGTTTTTGTGACACCAAAATGCAACTTCACAACACAAATGTCTATTACTCCATTTTTTACAGTGGTATTAGTTAAGAATTTTACATAGGCCCTGCCGCCAGCGTGTTCACTAACTGCCTACTTTTATCAACAAAACTGAAACTCACTTGGTCTGCGTCTTTTCATACTCCATCATCTGAATGCGGAACAGGCCGTTCTGCAGCGCATGAATAAAGATGACATAAACATCTTTTTCCTGCGCCCGAGGCATAGAGGTAGAGCTGGAAGTTGTGGACTGATCTTGACCTGTGCCCGTCACCACAAGCAAGTCCGCTGTGTGGCACACAATATGAAACAACACAATTAACATCCATGCAACATCACAGACTATACACACTTTTAAGTAGTCTAATGAAGATCTGAATAACAGAAAAGTTTGGACTGGGAAAACAAGTCCCCGAAAAGTTTATTCAAACATCAGCCACAACTATGACAATTCTATGCTAGCATCAAGTTTTTCAACTAAAACGTTTTCCTACACAAACACAATTGAATGTTCTTTTATGAGAAATGGGGGAAAAATACATGGTAGTGACAAAAATATTACTCCTTTTCTGTGATTCCAAACCTCGTTATCGGCAGCACAATAAAAGAAAAAAAAAATGTACAGTAACTTTGTAGCTACCAAACTTTCCCACAAGCCCTTTGCTGAATTCTCTTACAATCATCTTCCTATATTCTACATTTAATGGAAACCCCCTTCCTCCTAAAAAAATTATGCAAAAAAGAGAGAGAGGTGTGAAGCCTTGACACATCCATGACCAAGTGACACATTCTGGTAGTTTCAAACCAGTCTGTGAACTACAGTTTTAGATCATCAAACAATCATCGAGCGTAATTACCAATGGGAAAATTGTCGTGATCCTCAAAGTTCTCTAGCCACACCACCAAAACTTTTGTATCTGGTCCTGTCATAAGGGCAGGCTGACGTCCCAGCCGACGGTACTTGACCCCTGACCCGCTGGTCTGTGGTTCAGGTGGTGAGCCCGGGGAATCTTTCTCTGATGCCCTCCCCCGTTCAGCCTCCAGTAGCAGAGTGGTGGGTTTCTGAGGGTCTGGGCTGCTGGTGTAGGGGCCTCCACGGTACATGGGTGGTGACTTGTCTGTTGATAGATATGAGGTATTCAGGCTCAGAGACCGAGGGAGGGGGGGGGCGCTGAGAGAAAAGTCTACAAGTCCAGTCTGAATATCAGTATCTCACCAAGAACCACTGATATATTTAAATCAATGACACTTTCGTTTAAAAGTCCAATTTACTCAAGTAAGAACAAAAAATTCCCTGCCAATGGAAAAAACATGACAAAAATATCCCAAGAAGTAACTAGACCAATACCGGTACCCACAAAAAGAACTGAAGCAATACAAACAGTCTGCATTAAAAAACACCCAATACAACTATCACTCACAAACTGAATCATATGACATAAAGAATTCCTTTCAGAAAAATCCCAGAGCTATAAAATTCCCAGCAAAATGAAGTACAGCTGAAAAAACCCCAAATACAAATGAACAACAAAAGCCAAATTATTCTCATCCACATGAACTGCAGAGACAAATATAATCCCTGCTAAAGTAACTCACCTTGCTCTGTGGTGTTTAACGTTCGCATTTTGTAGGTCTCAGGAGAGGGCACAACCACAGCCATTTCAGACAAGACGTCAGCCCAGTACAGTACCTGCTGTCTGCCATCGTACAAACTGCCCCCCGTACCCGTCTGATACTCGTCCTCTGAATAAAATCCAAAACCAAATGTTGATGTACACAGGAAAAAAAAAACGTTGATCCCATTGGCAAATTTTGGGTTGCAATGCGAGGGCAATTTCAATATATAAACATTATTTCATTCAAAAGTTACATCAACACTACGTAATTTCAAAATTGTCCTACCAATACAGAAAACTTGACAAACATCCCCATGCTGGTTGCAACAACGTAGCACTCTTGTTTTTAAGCTAGAGCTGTTGTCCAATCAAAGACCCCCCCCCTCCCCACAGACCATACACATAAACCGCATGCCATTCACATTGCTTAACACATTACACCTGAACTCGCCCGGGGCCGCCCGAGTATTCCCTTACGCGCTCCACCCTGACTCGCCCGCGCCGACCAAGTGTCTTTAGAAACAAATTCTCGCCTTGACAAGACTCTGGGGCCGAGATTTTGATTTGCATAGTTATTGCAAAAAGTTTCTTCTTTCATTTGATACGTAAACGAAATTTTTCGGGCCAGTAGTTTTAGTATTAGAGCCGAACTTCGTAGGTGTCTCGACTTGTTGAAAAGCGACACAATTGAGTTCGAAAAAGGAAATAACAATGGATTTGAGCAAAAACGAGCATATGACAAATTAAATGACTCAGATTTTGATGAAAACGTTGTAGCAAGAGTTTGGGGCGATTCAGATTGATCAGACGTAGAAAATCTAGAATTTAGATCTAGGGCCCGACCGCGAGGCTGAGAGTAAGAGCGACGGGTCGGACACCCCGACTGAACTAAAGTTAGAACGTTTCCAATAGTTTGCGCATACATAAAGTTATATTTTTCTGAAACTACATTCATTTTTCGTTTTAACTTATTTTTTCAGGATTTTTGGAATGTGTTTAGTATTTTTTAAATGTTATTTATAAAGGCTTGTATTCACGGGAGGTGGGTTCCTTCCCCCTGCTTAGGATCTAACAATGGACTTCCCGTCCAGACCCTTAGGGTGTAATGTATTAACAATTTTCATGCCTTAGCTCATTGGCCATTGGATCACCAGAGCCCATGAGAGTGTGTGCCTTCAAAGGGATCTACAAGTATAAATAATCACTTAAATGTTAACTTTAACTTAGACTAACAGTCCATGATTACACTAGATCTCCAATTAAACTAAGGGCAGGCAGCATGTTTAGGTAGGAAGTGCAACCCTTCCGACCACAGTAATGCACAAACATGTGTGCTTTGACTGACCGTCCATGTCATCCGGTTCCGTTATCTTCCAGGAGGTGCTGACATGTCCAGTCCACCCTGCATGTTTCCGCACGTCCACAGGCCAGCCCAAGGCATGAAGAAACTCTACAAACTGCGGCTGCACACTGTTGTATGAAGTCTGCATCACATGCCAAGGATAAAATAGAAAACCATGGAGAAAAAAATTTTTCAAATGCTGTGCATTCTACCTACGGAGTAATGAGAAAGACATGGCTTCACTACACTGATTTTAAAAATGACACCCGGTTTGTCATATCGGGTGAAGTCTTAGTTTAATGAGACAGTGACTAATGTAACAGACAGTGCAAAACAAACCAAAAGACAACTTGACTTTATCCCAACAATACACATTGAGGACTGGAATCATTCACAAGAAACTAGAACTATTTACCCACCACATTATTGAGGATATCCACAGCCGATGTCTGTCCATGTTTCATGTAGAAGATGTGCACGGTGTCATTGTCTCGACTGGGGATGAAGTCCAGGCATTCCAGGTCGGAGAAGAGGCCAGAGTTAGTGGTGTCCAGCATCACAAGGTCAGGGGGGACACTGCTGTTGGACGGCTCCTGCAGAACAAATTTAGTTTTCATCTGAATGTTTGAGTTCAGAGAAGCACATCTACATGATAATCATAATTTAATGCGGAGAAAAAAGCAAGATAAACTGATGTATAAAACAAAGGAACAGTAAAGAATTAAAACTCAACCGTCTCCTCTAGGGACTAGGGCAAGATCTTTTCAAGCAAATTCTACACTGTCAGATCAGGAGGGTAGGCCTACTTTATAAACAAGCATATGTGATTCTAGGAATAGTGGAGCCCAAATTTTGAGAATCCACTAAAGAGAATTTGGATACAATGGAAAAAAATATATAGACCTTCCTTTTGGAAGGACAATTTTTAGACTAAGATAGAAAAGTCCTTTTTTCAACACTTTGAGGTCACTTGCCGTAATGATGCGACGGTGAAAATTATGTGTTCCGGTCACCTGCATCAGGCCCAAGAAGTCCTTTGCAGTCGCTCTCCTGGCTGAGTGACCAGATGGGGTATTTTGTACTGCTGGCTGTGTGACTGCAAAGTGTTAAGAACCAGCAATGTTGACCACAGAAATGATAAAACACTTATTGTAATCAATCAAACAGATTGACCCACTACCTACCTTGAGAGCCTCTAGAGAGAGAAGGCCATAGTGGGAGAGGAACAGACGTGCAGTCTGGTACTCATTGCAAATCCTGTGAAGAGGGAGAAAGAATCTGCTGTAGTTTTGAGCTTTGATAAAAAAGAGTGCAATGGTGTTGTTTCTGTTGTGGATAAAATATTCTCTGTGATGAATCAGCAGGACAAAAGTTCAAATTTTCCCCAAAACAGATTTGGTAACTTATGACAGGAAAAAAAAGAAGAAAAAAGGGGCAGGCCACAGACATTGACCACATGAACTGTACAGAAGTGCACCGAAGTCAAATGTAATTGTAAAGTCAAAGCATTGCCACAAAATACCTAAGGTAGATTTCGCTCGTACACTGGCATATGATCCCCATATGTCAGAAAAAGAAATAGAAGAAAATCACAGATTTCAAACAGAAATACAGGAAAAAAGTAGGAAATGGCTGCACTCAGGTTAGAGTTGCAAGAAAATTTATAGACATCATACATCCATCAAATGTCATAAAGAAAACAACGACATTGCCTGAGCAGCCAAAAGAGCAAATCTCTTTTCCTGAATTTGGGCACGAGAGGCTCCACAAAAAAAAACCCCACAACTTTTTTAAATGCTGCTTTCTCCTGCAACTAAAAACAAGATTACGACATTACCTCTGTAATACTTTAATAGAAGGAAGTCAATTTAGTGTTCAATCTGACCTTGTGCGCATGTTAAAACAGAATGAAAACAAGAAAAGGAATAGGAAACAAAAAAGAAAATATGGACTTGCTGAAATACTAAGACAAAACAACAACTAAAAACTGTCAGTCAAAAATAATTGCATTTGTGTGTGTACTATCAAAAGAATTCCGACTCCATTTTAGCAGAGAATGTTTCAGACCCAAAGAATCCATGTGCCACAATTATTGTTGCTGGACATACGAAACATGGACCATAAAACATTATGAAACCTGCACTCTTCCAGCAGTGAAGTTGGGACAGGAGCAAAGCCTCTGGCCCCACCTTAGACGAGACTGTAAATGCCACCAAAGTCCACCCATTGGAGAACTGTTACACACATTGCACCCTCTTCCCCCCCCCCCCCCCCTTTTCAAAAGCTGTACCAATGATGCCCACTGCTGACAACACACATCTATGTAACTTGACTTACTTTGGAGGTTTACACTCCGTGACTGGGTCTGGGTATGGAGTTTTCTCTCTCTCCAGTCTTGCCCTGTGGCTGACCTCTCGCTCAAAGGTCGCAACCTGCTCAATCAGACCTTTCATCTTCTCAGCATCTTCCGTCTGTTTCTCTGTTAGCACTGATTCTAGAACAGGGATACTCTTGTCCCTGGAAACAAATTTGAGTGAAGAGGAAAAAATATTTGAATCAATCAAAATAATAGGTTTTGGGAAGTTCTTCTTCTTCTTCCCTGCTAGAGCTCTGGGGGGAAACTGACAGTAAGATCGCCATCTCATAGTGAAGTTGATTTTTGTCTGCACAGTCATTTTATACACAAAGAAGGTAGAATCACCTCTTGTCTCACAGGCAACCATGTGTTGTTTTCAAAGGTACTCTTACAATGTATACTGACTATAGTGGCTTCAGTTTTACAAGGGAATTTTTAATTTTGCTCTCATTGCAGCCTGCTCTTTTCAAGTTTAGAACCACTAAGGGATCTTTAACATGTGAAATTTCCACATGGGCCTCACTGGACCTCTGCAAATTTTTGTCCTGTTCCCAGAAGACTAGAAGCTCAATCCTACCTACATTGGGAACATGGGGTGTAGACAGTATGAGAAATAGAAACCTGGCACTGGTACGGATCATACTCCAGACCTAAAGGTTCACAGGAAAACACCATACCTGCTGAACTACCAAGCCCCCCCCCCCTATCTCATTTGGCAGGTTAAAATTTAACTTGGAGCAAAGTACAAAGAGTTTAAAACTTATTATGCAAAAAGCAAAAATAAACATAGTTTTCCATACATTACTGTGTACTCCACTGCACAAGCTTGAAATAATTTCCACATAGACTGCATAAAGACATCTTGCTCACTATCTCCCTAAAAAGACCCTAAAAACTTTTTAGTGCCATGTCAAAAAGTTAACAACTGTGTTCCTATATTCAAGGTTATTGGTTTTCTTTTTACATATGATTGTTATTTGGGTTTTATTTATTTTAGTGCTTATGTGTGTTAGTGTGTGCATGTGTGAGAACAAGGGGTTGGGGCAGTCCCACTGACTGTAGTGTCTTTAGGCCATTCCCAAAGGGGCGACATTTCCCGTTCAAGCACAGTAGAATTGTAAATGGGCTGATTCATGTCATGCTCATAACTGTGCCTGTTCTACAACAGGGAACTGCAGCTTTTTCTTTCCTAACCTTTACTATTGTCATTTTCCTCTACTTTTTTTGTATGTCTGACACACTCTTGTGACCTGCCATTTCCGGGGTGACTTGATAGTTGAAGCAGACCTTGTGCTGTTAAAGCTAGAGAGGTGAGCAGAGTAAGTCTAATTCCCTGTAAAGACTTTTCTGTTGACACCCACCCCTTGGCGCTCATACGACCTTATGCAGTTACAAGCGCTGTAAAACCCTCTACTATAATAAAAACAATAATAGAACAAGGGGTGTTTTTCTTTCTTTTTTTATAGGGCAGAGGGAGGGGGAGGTGAGAGGTGGGCGGGGGGGTGTGTTCTTTCCCTCAAGAATGGATTAGAGTATTGGGGAACAAAAAAGAACAGTCCACCTACGCTTTAGTCTGCGGGATTCTGTTGACATTTTCTGGGAAGTAGCGGTGCTTGACGTTGTGCTGAACTCCCACGCTGTTGTCAGGAATGGGTCGTCCAGGATCAGACAGGTGGGCACGGGACGAGATCTGGCCAAGGGAACAAACATTGGTTTTAATTTTTTTTTTTTGTTAGTTTTAGTACAGGTTTTACGGCGCTCGCAACTGCATAAGGTCATATAAGCGCCAGAAGATTAGAGGTGTTACAAGAGAGTAACAAACATAAAAAAGAAGAAGGGGAGATAAGGGCGATAGATGTTTGATAAGAAAGAAGAAGCAAACCACACCAGAGCACCCGCCAACCACCCACTTTTAATTGTTTTACTCATAAGTTTTTACTGCACTTGCAACACAATTTGGTCATATGAGTGCCGAAGATTAGAGAAGTTACAAAAAAGTAACAAACACAAAAAAGACAGATGAGGATGATAAATGATTGATACAAAAAAAGGAGCAAACCACACCAGAGCACGTACCAACCATCCACAAACAAACATTGTACCAACCATCCACGAACAAACATCACAAAAACCAAAAACCGCAGTAAAACATTTCTCAACACTTATGACACCCAAACAGGGCCCTGTATACACAGTGTATTTCTTTGTTGATCACAGAGCTCACTGTAAGCTCAGTTAACATCATGCTGGACTGGGAAGAGAATGACCCTGGTGTTCTTGAACTTGGTTGTTTGAACATTCTAATAGTTCTCAGACGAAAAGTACATGTAATATTAGAAGTATTTCAAAATTAGACGTCACACCTCTTAAATTACTGTTGTGTTCAAAAGTGTGGAAAAAACCATGCCACAATTGTAAAGCTGGATATTTTATAAGCGTTACAGAATAGGTAAACAGAACCCAAATGCTTCATTGCGGTTTTTTTAATTTACCATATCTTGAAGAATATCCATCAGAATGCTGTATTATTTTAATGAGCAAATGATAAAATTTTAGAAAATATGTCACTTATGTGCAAATTAAAAATAAAAGTAAAATAAAACCCCAAAGCTATACCTTACTTTCATTAGAACCTTTACAAACTTCCTCTTCATTAACCTAGCTTAGGCTATTGATATCCTATTTAGAACTCATAGCAACAAAATTGTTTTTTTACATTATTCATGATGAAACTTCATTTATCTTCAAACACTCCATCATCATTGCGAGATGACGTAAATTTCTCATTATGCAATACATAATTCATGAACCAAGCGATACCTTAGAGGCCCGGGGAGAATGTCTGAGCTGCATGGTCCACGCATGTCGGCCAAACGCCCCTCGGATGAGAGCAGTCACAGTCGGTAAAGGATCTGGCAAAAGTAAAATTAGTAGAATGGACAAATATTCATTTTTGTTATACAAACAAAAATTCCTATTGTGCAAACACTGGACTTTAAATTACAATCTTAAACCAGTTTACAAAACTAGCAAAAACAACTCCAGTCAGTAAATAGACAGTGGTGTACTTAATGGCGGAGAATTAAATAATAATAACAATTACTTGACAGTAATTATTCTGAAAGCCTCATTTTAAAATCCTGTCTGTTTTTACAATCAAACCTGGGCGTGCAAATAAAAAAATCACACCAAATCTCATCTTACTAGTATTGAAAAAAATCACACCATATCTCATCTAACTTTATCCCAATTCTTTTGAAACTTGGACATTAACAATTATACAGGTCAAAAGATGTATGTCCTCAAAACTATCTACATGTAGAATAAACTTCCCATCTCACACAAGGAAAGAAACTCTCTTTAGCATTTAATCCTTCCCTGATAAAACCACAGCGCCAGTCTAACTAAAGGCATACCTTCAATGTTGCCAAGTGGCTGCTCCAAAAGTCCAACAATGACCGATTTGTCAATAACAAAGTAGCGGAACAATGACCCTTGTTCTGGGAGTGAGCTCCCCTTGGCAAAGCGTAGCAGGGAGCGTTCATCCAGGAGAGAGAACAAGGACTCTGGCCCACAAGGCGGCGGGAATGCACCCTGATGAAATACACATTGCAGTGGGTTGAAGAATACAGCACATCAGCACATTAGAGCCATACTCAGAACAACAATTCTAAAAGTATTTTTTTTAAAGCAGAGCACACCAGAGCTCCCATCAACTGCCAGCGACAAAAAGAGTAAGCACAGGGCAAGAAAGAAGGGTTTTTTTTTGTTTAAGTAGAGGTTTTGCGGCGCTCGCAACTGCATAAGGTCATAAGAGCGCCAGAAAATTAGAGGTGTTACAAGAGAGTAACAAACATAAAAAAGAAGGAAGGGAGATAAGGATGATAGATGTTTGATAGGAAAGAAGAAGCAAACCACACCAAAGCACCCGCCAACCACCCACAAAGAAAGTTTGAATTATCCCTGAGACAGCATGGCTTAAAGCCATTCCCACCAGACTCCACATCATGATGGACTTGAGGGTCAGTGTTTTACCCAAAGTATCATCTTTTCAAAATAGGTCTCAGTCCCACTTTCAGTCTCACACAGAACATAATGAAAATCAAACATCCTGTGAACTGTAACCATCCCCCTCTCCCCCCTCCCCCACCCCCAACTCTTCCTCCTTTTATTTTAAACTTAACTGTAATTATTACACAAAGCAATTATTTTTCTTCATTTAGGCCTATGCCAAATCAATTTTCAAGCAGGAAATTTTTAAAAAGATGTCCTATATCCACATTCAGAGACTATATTTGGGGATCCTGCCCATTTCTATCAACTGGCACTTCTGTGTTTAGAAGAAACAACAACAGCAAAAAATAAGCAGCATTTTGGAGATATATATATATATATATATATATACACACACACACACACATCTATATTCGCATCGCGGTGAAATCAGGCGCTCGTCAAAATAATGAAATCAAAGAAATCGACATCTTTTTGGCCAATAGGCAAATTCCCTCTTATTTTCCCCGTTTGGCTCGACACCTTCCATGTCCATTCAAAAACACACCTTTGTGTGGATTATACTGAAAAACTTTGACACTCAGAGATCTAAAGGCTTCATTTTGGGACAGCAGTAAGGTCTGCGCAAAAGCCAAGTTATAAGTACTGAAAACATAGGAGAAACTCTGTGCAGGAAACATTGGGCCAGCGATACTAACAGACCCTGGCTCTCAACCCTAGTCTCACCACTTGGTCGATGATACAGGTCAGTAGAGCTTCAGCAGCATCCTTGACCCTCATCGACGCTGGCATTAGCTCTTTGTTGCCCTTGAACTTGGGAGGATCACTTGCACGATTCTGTGGTAGAAAACATAATAGCATAATGAAAACAAAAGAGGACAATTTTTTAAAGCAATATTTGGCTACATCACAAGAATACTGAACCATTTCCTTAGATATCAAAGTACTTGTTGAAAGTCAGAGCACAAGGTAATGTCATCTTCAAAAGCATTAGAAGGTCATTTACTGTAAGAAAGGTGCATTCTACTGAAATTCAAATCCCAGAAAATGAAAAAAAAAAATTAGCTAGATGTGAAATGAGCACAAATTCAAGTTTAACCAAATCTACCACACAAAACCATAATTAACTGACATGAAGCTTAGGAGCTCTCTACAAAAACTTCTTTACAATGGTCTAACCGTGATTTTACATTTAACTCTACAAAGTAAAAGAAAAAAATCACACTAAGACATGTAAGGGTGTGGGTCCTTGAGCATCAATTACACATTTTGAAAGAAAACCGAAGCACAATGATCAGTGAGTTCAAACCTCATAAAAATCGTTACTGGGCGACATTTTATACAGGGACTCTGAACACAACCACCAACAGCTACAGGAGGTCCCATCTCAGAACATTTAATAGAATTGCACACTATAGCACCATTGCACGAAAGACAATATTTATGTTGTTGGTTTTTTTTAAATACAAAAACTACAAGAAAGCAAACAATGAGTTGCCAACATGGTTTCCAAAAATGTATTGAGGAATTTGCAAGTTGAAAGATAAATGCATCCAAATCCATTTCAATTACTTTGTGCAGTTATGCATCAGTATTTTGTATATTCTCTGAGAACTGAAATGGTAACTTGAAATGAAAAGGTCAGTCAAGGAAGTTACTGTGAAGTTGTGTGACCTTCGGAGGGGGGGGGTACAAGAAAATAAAAATTCAAAAGAACAGAAAGGGGGAGAGGGGGGGGGGAGGGGAAATCACCTCTAAGGTGAGACCATATCTGACTGAGGAAAAAGTTGAGAGACCTTCCCATTGCTTCAGTTGGAAATGCCTCAAATACACAGTATCAACATAGCTTCATATTTATCAGTCTTTCATAATTCTTTCAGTAATAAGCACAGGCAGATCAAGTTCAATAAACAAATGAAAACAAAACATGTTTTCAGATATTGCTATGAAGCTGAATCTCTTACCAGACCAGTCAAACAGCAAATAAAAGCTTTCATATCGTTTGCTTTGATTCATGAATACTTCGCACTACACATTTTACATTTAATGGAATAAAAGGAGGAACAAATCTAGAAACTGATAACTTCATATTTTAGAAGAATGGTATCTTTGAGCAAAACTTTATTTTGCTTCTCAAACAGCAGACATTACTGGTGCAAATCTGAGAGATATATAGTCATACTGACTTTTTAAGTGGAGGTTGTGGGACGTTCTATCTGTCCAAAATTGTCATCAAAATGCAGCTAAGAGAATTAAGAAGTCATGCTTGAGCAATATCTTCCTATTTGATACAACTGCATCCTCAGCATATCAAAACAGAAAAAGAAAATTGAAAGAAAACAGAAAACAAGCCAATACTAAAGGTGCATGTCAGAATGCTTTCGTTGCAGATGCTCCATTAGAAAACATGCTCAATATTCGAATGGTCATGAATCTTGGTGAAGGCTCCATAAAAAAGGGACAGTGGACCTTTGTAGCACATACTCCAAACAGAGAAAACATTGTAAATGACATATATTTTTGTAAGTTCCAAAACCAGAAATAGCTTCTTCTGTATAGCACAGCCATAATATGAGTAGGTACTACAGTTTTACTACATTAGTACTTCTTGGGAATTAATTACTTTCGTGTTCTTCACACAGACAGACAATTACAGAGCAGTACAGCAGCCAAAATTGCCCACCAGCCAGCCACAGCTTCAGTTCACATACAATGACATCGGCTATACAGATATCAAAAGAGCGATACAATACTAGGCACAGCAAAGTCTACAGTCCACCTTCCCACTGAAGTTACATGACAAGTCATAGAGCAAAGAAAGACCGCAGCTCAAGAGCAGACTTACAAGATCCAGGGTACACAGAGTGCACACAGAAGAGACTTGATTAATAATTATATGTATTCATTAATATGCTGCAAGAGTGAATGAGAGTATACTGAGGTTAATGTATCCCAATATGTCAGTGTCTAGCTACAATGGAGGCCATTCACCTTTTCCACCATGTCCAGATCTTTTATCTTTCTAAAAACCGTCAAACCGCTACGATAAATGCCAGTGTCACTTACATTTCTTGGGTGGATTTGAAAAACATTCATGACTTCAAGTCTTTTCTTGAACCACACTTCGAGAAGTTCTTCTTAAGGACTTGGCAATTTGTTGGCATGTTTACAATATTTCATTGCAAGGTGATAAGAAATCATGTAGAAAGCCCTGGGCTTAACACTCTGAGTTAAGCCCATGTTGACTTTGGCTCTTATCGTAGCATATTCATGACTCTATATATGTGAAGATAGGAGGTCTGGACATGACAAAGGCTAAAATAATTTTGTGAGTGCACATGTACTTGCAAGCTGAAGTCAGATATCACAGTGTGCAGCACTATGACAGTTTTATATATCACAATACACATAATATGTCATGATAGACCCTTTTTGTGAAATGAAAACTTCTCCAAAAATTTTTTTATTTTTTCGTAGCTAAATATTAGTCTCAAAACATGATTTCAGAAAAGGCAATTTTTCTTATGACATTTCTAGGAAAGCATCTCCCCAAAACTCAAATTTGGAGAGAAAAAATTTTTTTAAGTTTTAAAAAAAATTGCCAGTGTCTGCTATGAATAAACATTTTGGCACTCAAAATCAAGTCTTGTTAGACTGATTGAGTCGGACATGATTAAGAGAAGCATTTTGGCACAATATACAGCATTGTGACAAAGCAAGTCAAAACACAGAAATAAATAGAAAGAAGCCCATAAACATTCCACCTCTGCTTTTTTTCATAATTAATAGAAGAAGCCCGCAAATGTTCCACCACAGCTTTTTTCATTAAATGTTTTAGTCAAAACCAGAGAGTCATAATGAGCCACTGAAGACATTTCACAAATTTGCAAGTAAAGGAATAAAAGTACCCTGACAAAAATAACCTAATTTTCATTTAATAAACCACAATTTTATGACTGATTTACTTGGTTAGGAAATGTGCATCGACAAAGATTTAGAGCAGGGACAAAATTGGAGGACAGGGGAATAAATAGAAGGAATGAAGTAAGCTTGATCAGTAACAGCCTTCAATCGCTCCTACCCCCCCCCCCCCCCCCCCATCAAACTCCAAAATCCGACAATGAAAAACAAGATGCACCACCATCATTTTGCATGCTTTATTAAAACATTTTTGTGTGAAACTTCCAGGGGCGGAAGAGAGGAGCACAACAAAGTACACAAGTCCAAAAACATTTACTGTCTTATTCAAGACCAATACTGTGAAAAAGCTCAAGCAATTGCCAGCATTCCAGCTGCTAATTAAGCACTATGAAGTAAAATCATAAAGTTAACCACCATAACAGGCATCTTGAATAAACATTATCTTTACAAGTTTTTCTTGAATGACCCGCATGTCCGCAAGGTCTGCAATCATTATTATCACATTTAAAAATCTTACATCAAAGTTTTCACTGCAACTGTTCAACTGACAGCATAATGGCATATCATACGCAATCTTAAAATGTACATATGCAAATTAAGACACTCAAGCAGTAAGCATCAGAATGGTTGTTACTGTACAAATAAACAAAGAGGACAATTGAACAATTAAATGTCTAAAATTCTTTGCTTTCATTTTTTCATAATACCACGCAAAATTTAACATTAAAAATTTTACCAGGACAAATATTGACTGCAAGCCCAACAGAAGTTTTATGCGTGACTTGGTAAAGACCATGCTGCCTTGAAACTTTGTATTAACGTAAAATTTTGTAGGCTATCACAGTACAAATACCTCATAATTTTATGTGAAGACTGCAATCATGATGCCCTACAAACACAGAGCAAGCAACTGCTAAAAACCACACATGCAGAGAGGACTACAATATTCCAAACCACCAAATCACCCCAGACACCTCTCTACAGATAGTCACAAATTACAGGCAGTTAAGATCTATTGGCTGGCCAGCCCAGTACACCCAAGAGGACACTCCTAAGGGCCAGCCTCATGGATTACGACTAAGATTGGGAAATGGTCAAAGGCAATATTATAAATAGTTGGGAAACAGATGCTGGGCAAAGAAAGAGGGCACGTTGTTGGGGGGGGGATGGGGGGGGGGAGACACCAAGGGTGTAGGTTCAGCCCTCCAGGCAGGTGTACCTTCATAGACACAGACTTTGACTCCTTGTCAATTTTCACCTTAACTGTTTGCATTTCTTGAGTCTTAGTCTGAAAGGAAATGCCAGGGTTAAAGTGACAATAGGGTGGGTAAAGTGGGCACAACACAGATCTCGCATACACATTGTGAAATAGGACCGTGGAGGGATGAGGGGGTGGTGACACTTCACTAGTAAAATACACATTGTAAAGACTAAATAATCTTTGGGACATGAATTGAATGAACGGAGAGTGAAGGCGACTTGCAACAGACCTGGTGCTCCTCTATATGGGGATGATAATAAAACATGCTAATTCATGGGAGATAAATAATATATATTAATGTTGCTGAAATAAAACCGGCTGCGAGTGGGTTTATAAAACTGACAAAAGGTTCCAGCATCACTCCGTCATACCGTTCAGCGCTAATGTAAGTCCTGCTCGTTCAATTTTCAAAATGCTCTGACAGGAGACACATTCACACAACAGTCATACCCTTATGAGACATACATGTGTCATTCTAGTCTTCTGATAAATGAAACACACTGTAGTGCAAATGTCCTATGACTGTCCACTAGACAACTGTTCAATCCCAATTTTGGATGCCCTTGCCAACCACTGACATTGCTATGAATTCTATAAATTGAAATAAAACCAGTAGTAGCAATGCAGTGGAACAAACAGGATTCCTTTCCATGTGATTCTTAATAGAGATTGATATCATTCAGTCTGAGTGTTTCAAGAGATCATAATCTATAACATACCAAAGCAAAAGAGGAATAAAAAGAATGCATCTAAAAGGTTGGTAGTAATGGCTGCTCCAGCTTACACAAAGCCATGATTTTAGACTCCATTTGAAGCACTATGATAGCCTAAAAAGCCAGGACAGCATTAGGAAATTAAATAAATTTTCATACTTGATAAGAAATTTTTTAGAAGCTTTAGACTATCAGTGTCAGTGCCGACCAACATGAAAAAAAAATATATATAAAGGATATTAAAGAATTAAGAAATGGACTGCCTAGAAGCTTCTAGATAATGATAACACAATAAATTTGAATAGATTGATTGTTGTGCTGAAATATTGCCAGAAGACCAGGGACATTGTCAAGTAAGAGTGTTTTTGTGCCACTCCTACTGTCAGTGAAAAACTCAATCTATAAATTCAACAGGATCCTGAGGCAAAACTTCAGCCACAGGCAAACTGAGAGCCCACAACTGAAGGACAGTGATTGTGAAATAAGCAGAATGCAAACCAGAAGCATTGTTTCAAAAGAAACAGCACACGCTCTCTGTGCTGAACATAATTCTTCAAACTTTTCTGAAGACACTGTGAAACTCACCATAGGCAACCCAGAGGTTCACACCTTTCCAACAATACAACACTCGTCTTTTGGCAAGACAAAGACTTATGGCTCGCAAATTTGTGCCCTTCACCTTAACATATGAAGTCGCAAGCCTCAACATTTACTAGCAAGACGTGAACCAAGGCAAACAACTGAGAGATGGCAGAAATGAAGCTCGGAGCTATGCTTTTCCACAGAGAATTACGGGTGGGGATACCTCCCTCAGGACAACAGAACGCAGTGGGAAAAGAAAACAAAGATGAGGGACACACGAGGAACAGCTTTACTCTATTTATTCAGCCATTCTCAAAGACAGTGACACTGTTTGTCAACTGATAGGGTCATCTTGAATTTCACTTTCATTTTTTTTAAAAGATTCATCTATGGCAATCTGAGTTAAAATAGAAATTCCCGGGCAAAAGCATCCATAGGCTAGTCCAAAAACCCAAGATGTTTGAAGATAAAAGGAAGATGTTAACATTGAAATTTTGGAGGTGCAAATGAAAGTGTAGGGACACTACCAAAAATAACTAGCAGTAAAGCAGACAATGATTAATAATAATTGACAAGCCATACACAAAAACTGAAAATGAACCTAGAATTAACCGGCACTTTCAATGAAAGTAGGCCATACTTAAATAAGGTAGAAGGCTCAAATAGCAAGAACAGTTGTCAACTTTGTTGAATTTACAACTAGTCAGGACAATAACTTTTCATTGAGAAGATTTAGGACACCATTAACATTAAGAAAAGAAAGAAAACCACATTACAGAATCCAGGAACCATATACTTACAACAAAAGCAATCACCTAACAGTTTTATCATATCACCAGTTTACAACAAAGAAAAAAAACCTTTGCAATAGAAATATTACTCATTGAAGAAGCAAATTTAAATAGACGATATACCGTATGTGGTGTGCCACTATGACAATTCATTTGATGAGTAGACATTGTTGTCAATGCAAGCATCGACCATGTACTTGAATCAAATAAATTGCCACAACCTCAAACAACAAGCTGTACACCTATTTCATACCACAAACCAGAATAAAAAGCCGAAACAAATGAATGGCAAAAGTGCAGAAATGACAAAAAGTATACTTTAACAACAAGGGACCAAGGTAACCATATTGGATAACAACTATTATATCTCCTTTGAATCCCCAAAAAAGCTTCCTCCAAAATTCTCATGGAACCAAAGCATGTTGAAAATGTGTCCCATATTTTGTGAAGACTTCAAGAAGGCCAATGGCTGATCCCTCTCAACTCAATCTATTATTACATCAGGGTTGCATGAATCATTATGTCAATACACATGTGATGTACCATGTACAATTTGTGTGCTGTCTACTTTTTTCTCAGTCTCACCGTTACTTGCAGTGAACATGAAAATAAAGCCACGGCACTCATCCTGTACTTGACAAAAATGGTGCAGGTCACGAAAAAAAAACAACCCAAGATGTTTGATTAAGTGGATACCTAAATACAGTGGCACTTGTCCCGAGATGACCACCAACCGTTGGGGAGAAATGTGGTCATCTTAATCGGATTTTCCTCCTAAACAGTGTCATTTTAAAACAGAAAAATGCAAGAGGGGAAGTGGAAAAGAGGGAAGTGATCGTTTGTCCAGGTGATTGTCTTTGACAGGAGGTCATTAGAGCAGGTCCGACTGTACAGTTTTTAAAAAACACCACTTATTCTATCTACCACTAATGTGCAGCGCTGGGTTACTGTGGTTCCGGTAATGGAACAAAGGTAGGAGAAAAAAATTACAAAGAGAAGACAGAAATAAAGACAAATATGTGGGCAATTATAATCTGTATATGGTGTTACTTGTGGGAGAAGAACAGTGAGATGACTACATCCAAAGAAGAAAAAGAAAACTTTAATAATTTTTCAAAAAGGTTCTACAGTTTCACTAACAACCATGTATGGCTAACATGAAATATGGCAGTACATAGATGAAAGTTAACAGGATGTAGACAGGACAAAAACACAAAACAGACCATACACAGACCCTGAATTGAAGCCAACCCCCCTCCTCCCCCCCAAAAAAACCCCAAAACAAACAAACGAAAACAACCAACCAAAATCCCTTTTCGACGTTTAATTGCCATAATTCTTGTTTTGTCTCCATTCAGTTAGACACATTCCTGACCCCCTCCCTTCCGGACACAAATACATACAAATATGAAAATATGAAAATACGCAAACATGAATACACACATTTTTAACATCAAGACATTAAGTAATATCATTCTCCTCAACATTCAACTAGCTATTCATTAAAACTTTAATGAGGACATGTATAAACTAGTAACAGAAGCCAGAGAGCTTCCTCTTCTCTCAATCATCCTGTAACATAAAAATGTTTCCCAACACACAAAGCACCCACCTGTGACTTTGATCCAGAAATGCCCAGCTCTACCACCTCCAAGACCTGATGCAGACACTCGCGGTCATAGAGCAAAGAACAGTGCTCCACCAGCCACAGCTGGAGACACTTGAAGGCCGCGCACAACATGGAGTGCAGATCCCGGGAGTGGCTCGGGGCAGGGCGAGAACACTGAGGGGAGGGGGAAGCAACTTATGTTTGTTTTAATAGAGGTTTTACGGCGCTCGCAACTGCATAAGGTCATAATATGAGCGCCAAGGGGTGGATGTCAACAGAGAAGTCTTTACAGGGAATCAGACTTACTCTGCTCACCTCTCTAGCTTCAACATCACAAAGTCTGCTTCGACTATCAAGGCACCCCGGAAATAGTGGATCACAAGAGTGTGACAAACATACAAAAAATGTAGAGGAAAATGACGATAGTAAGGATTGGGAAAGAAAAATCAGCAGTTCCCTGTTGTAGTTCAGGCACAGTTATGAGCATGACATTGTAGGATCAGCCCATTTACAATTCTACTGTGCATTAGAACGACAAATGTCCTTTGGGAATGGCCAAAAGACACTTCAGTCGGTGGCACCGCCCCGGGGGGTTGGAAACAACTTACTTGACAAAACCAGTGGCCAGCTCATCAAATCCGCTGCTTAGTGTACTACTCCGTATTACATTACGAGAAGTCACATATGACAGAGGCTAAAGCCCCGGTTACACGCAACAATAAATTGTATCAGATTCGTCGTTTGAGAGAACTGTCCGTTTTATCGAACTGTGTTGTCTGTTTACACGTTCCAATATATCATAAAGTTTTCTTTCGATTGAGGAGATTCCTTGTCTCTTTGCGACGACATCGATTTGCGGCACTCTATGTGAAGGTTTCAAGCTCTGGACCTAATGAATGAAAGGCGAACACTGTGCCTCTAGCCCTCTTTCCCCTGTATATTTCGATTTAGCAGAAGTGTCTTTAGAAAAGGGTGGCCATACTGTAGGCCTATCGAGTTGTGTGTAGAACCGGAAGCTATGACTCGACTGCAGACAGATGTGCAACGCACCGAGTGACCTTGATGCGCAGCTTTCCCCTTGACGATCAACTAAATAACAAAAATTGCTAAAATATATATTATATAATAACGCACCAAATCAAGTTCTCCGCGAGTAACTTTGCTTAGTTTGAGACGCTAATTCCGAATATGAAATCCGTTTTTACCTACGATAATTATTTTAAAAGTATTGGGTCCTGAGTTTAGTTCTGCACGGCGGAAAATTTCAAAGTGAATCTACGTCACAGCGTGTCTCCCTCAAGTGTGACCGTGATCGCATGGATAATATCAAGCAGTGCTTGATTTCTCGACCGAGTCTCCAAACCATCGTTCAATCATCCAAATTTTGTACAATTTTGTGGTTACACCAAAGGTTTTATCGTATGATCGCTATATCGTCCACTTTTTGTACAATTTATCGTTACGTGTAACCGGGCCTTTACACTGGGTAGTCGAAATATTTTTGCTACTTTGTACAAAAGGCAGTGAGTTGAAAGTTAAATGTATTCAAACTTTTTCAGTTCTTTCTGAATCGAGAGAAGTAGTAACATACTTCCCCTGTATATCTTCCCCACTGGTACTAAATTCTACAAATAAAAATCATATCTTTTCTTACACTTTGGTGGCTGAGCCCAAACAAAGAAATGCTCTTTTGGTGGGTGAAGTCCTTGGTGAAAGTTTCACATATGATGTGTTTTACCCATAAAAAAGATCAACGGTTCCAACACTGGACCAGGTAAATGTTTATACAATCATGCATGCACATCATTTCACTGGTTAATGTCAGCTATATTGGTGCATAGCATTACATTGACAAATGTGTGGACAAAAACTAATTTTTAATGGATTTCTTGCAACGAAAACATACTTTTTACAGACACTATAAGAATGAATTCAGAACGATTTGGAATATCTAATAACACCTTTTTGAAAATTTGTGTGATGGGTGAAAGAATCTTTTCTTTTCTTTTTTAATGAGTGTATTAGCTGTCAAATCCCCCCTACCTCTTTTTCTGTCTTTCATTCTCTTTCAGCATACAGTTGCATCTGCCTATTTCAAAATGATTCATGTTTAAAGAGCTGGAACTAGCATCACAGAGGTGTCTAAGCTATGAAGCCTAGAGCCTTGCAACGTATCACTTTCTTCCAAATAAACCAGAGACCTTTCCATGAACATTTGTTATGTTTCCAAACTACGTTGTGGTGCAAGAAAAATTTACAACTGCAAAAAAATAAGTTTTAACTTTTGATATAAGGATCAGATCAATTGGAAAAAAAATTCAACAGGCTAACAGAAGCTTTCCTGAATAAAAGGAAATCATTTGTTTCAATCATAAAGCCCTTTTGACTCAAAACTTCAGCCATTATTCACTTATACTTGTGAACTGACTCCAGTCTAAAGCCCTAACCAAAGAGAAAAGTTCAAAAATTTGCCTTGGGTCTAAAGTCACAACCAAAATGTTGGTGTGGTTCTAATGCATCTAAAAGTTTTGTTTTTTTTCTGGGTCCCAGAAAGAAAGATATGGGAAAGAAAAACATTTTAATGTTATCCACACCTGAAACACAATGAGGTCACACATCCACTTCACTGTTCGCTTGCACATGAGCATGTTGGCCGGTCGGATCTTCACCTTGGCCAGGCCGGCCAGCAGTTCCATGGCAGCGAGGGCCACGTTGAGGTCTGTCTTCCATGAGGCCATTAGTCGATTACACACCAGTGACGTCGCATGGCCGAACAGACCATAAGCAGTGTCTAATAACAAGGGAGACAAGAAAGATACACGATGCCATGAGTACAAAGATATATGCCAATATCCAAACATGATTGCCATGGGAATACAGGGGGGGAAAAAACCCCACTTCCCAGACAATTGTTTTACAAAAATTATCATATGATTTTCCTAGTCCCCCTTTCTCCACATTTTTACATCCTCTCTTTCTCACTAACCCAATAGTTTCTCTCTTCTCATAGCAAGATCAGTGCTCCACTTGGACCAAACTGGGACAAACAAACCACTACAACAAAAAGTTACAACCTTAATTAATATACATGACAACCACTTGTAACACTTTGGATGAAACAAAATAAAGAGCATATACAAGACAGCTATCAGGGGGAAAAAATGACAGGCATAATTTCAATTATTTAATATATAAGTCATGTTAAAGGTCTTCTTGCGCCCTCCTTTCGGAACTTACTTGACCTATGATGCACATCCGTAGTCTTCAATCTCTGAGGGGCCAGCATGGAAGTAGCCATGACATCAGGCACAAAAGACAATTTAAACTTACAGTGTATCATCGCACATAAAATGCAACTTTTTTCCTAAAATTCTGGGTTTCAAAGTAACTCTGCCTCTTATACACGAGATAAGAAATTGAACCAAAAAATCCGACCAAGGAAACCAGGTTAGATGAAAAAAATTGATTAGTCTTGTTTTAAAGTGAGGTTATTAATGACAAATCCACTAACATAGATCATGGTGCTTGCCATGACAAAGATGGTACATCTATCTGATGAATGTACGATTTACACCAAAATTTTAGCTGTCAAGTCTACCTGCATCTTATCCATGCATGCGGTCTCATATACCACACTATACATTATTTTAATAAAGAGGAAGGGGGGGG